GTGGCTAAAAGCGCTTTCAAATCATTCGGTAATTCCATAATAATTGTTCACGAGATTGACGGTTCAGAATTGTTTTTTCGCGGTCTTAGATCTTTAAATAACAGAATAGTGGACTGATCTGTATTTTTGTCAATAGTGAACTGATCTGTATTTTTGTCAATAGTGGACTGATCTGTATTTTTGTCAATAGTGGACTGATCTGTATTTTTTGTCAATAGTGGACTGATCTGTAATTTTGTCAATAGTGGACTGATCTGTAATTTTGTCAATAGTGTGGACTGATCTTGTCGATTGTGTCCTATTTCCGATTGTGATATTTTTATTGAGCGTATGGCGGGTGCAGGAGACACCTACCTTTTTTATTGAGCGTATGGCGGGTACAGGAGACACCTAACTTTTTTATTGAGCGTATGGCGGGTACAGGAGACACTTACCCTTTTTATTGAGCGTATGGCGGGTACAGGAGACACTTACCTTTTATTGAGCGTATGGCGGGTACAGGAGACGCCTTCCCTTTCGACTCACCGGTCTCGCTCCTTTTTGAGTTCGTGCGAATATTTCAGTTTTAGCATGTAATTTGATTTGTCTATTCTTTTTCTTCGATTTACGAGATTTGAACATCATTAAACTAGTGTCACCCTAATTAATCAGATGGCGTTCAAACATGAATAACATGATCATTTCATATACATTTTGTACATTTATGTGTCAAAACAATATTTTATTGCTTGATTTCTGGTTTTATTTTCGAAAATTATCCTCGATTCGTTGGCCTCAATTTTGAAATTGCATCCTAAAGAAGTTCCTGTCTTGACAACGTTGATATTATAATTATAATGAATCCTCTTGAATTTGATAAATCATCTGTTTTATCTGTGAACCCTTTTGATGGAAATATAATGGATTGGACTGGATTAAACAATGTTTCAAATCTTTGAGAGATAAACATAACTTCTAGAGAAGACCACCTTATCTCTAGTCTTTCCCAGTCATATCTGGGACAGGTGGATGGCAGTATGGCCGTTACAAACTTACAGTTTATAGTTGTAACCATATTAATGTATAATGTCTACACAGTAGACAGTATCAGTAGCGCCAAATTAGAGGCCAGTCTCGATGAGTATATAAATGCTGTAAGTTTTTCTCGATAAATATGTTACTACGGTAAATTTTAATAGCGAACGGGAAATACTGCTTTCTCTCTCTTGTTAACAAACACTACATTTTACGGTACAATACATGCGCTTGAAGGTTTTTTTTAATTGAACACACGGGAATCTTTATGACATATTGTTTAAACAAAACAAAAATAAATAAACAAAAAAAATTAAAAAAATGAAAAAAATAATTGGAAAAGAAGAAAAAAACTCAACATAACAACAATAATCTAAGGCACATTTTGTCAGATTTCTTCAGACTATTTTAAGTGGTATATTTGATAAGTGTTTAATTGTACAGAAACCAGGTTGCATATTCCACAGCAAATTTAGTTTTAGAAGGTTTATCTAATTTCGAAATTTGGTCTTGACTTGACCTGAAGATAACGGTTATTTCATAGACACTCTTCGTGCACAATTACATCGGAATATGCTTTTACATTACCAACAATCCAGTACACCCATAAACACTCTTCGTGCACAATAATATCGGAATATGCTTTTACATTACCAACAATCCAGTACACCCATAGACACTCTTCGTGCACAATAACATCGGAATATGCTTTTACATTACCAACAATCCAGTACACCCATAAACACTCTTCGTGCACAATAATATCGGAATATGCTTTTACATTACCAACAATCCAGTACACCCATAGACACTCTTCGTGCACAATAACATCGGAATATGCTTTTACATTACCAACAATCCAGTACACCCATAGACACTCTTCGTGCACAATAACATCGGATTATGCTTTTACATTACCAACAATCCAGTACACCCATAGACACTCTTCGTGCACAATAACATCGGAATATGCTTTTACATTACCAACAATCCAGTACACCCATAGACACTCTTCGTGCACAATGACATCGGAATATGCTTTTACATTACCAACAATCCAGTACACCCATAGACACTCTTCGTGCACAATAACATCGGATTATGCTTTTACATTACCAACAATCCAGTACACCCATAGACACTCTTCGTGCACAATGACATCGGAATATGCTTTTACATTACCAACAATCCAGTACACCCATAGACACTCTTCGTGCACAATAACATCGGAATATGCTTTTACATTACCAACAATCCAGTACACCCATAGACACTCTTCGTGCAAAATTACATCGGAATATGCTTTTACATTACCAACAATCCAGTACACCCGTAGACACTCTTCGTGCACAATAACATCGGAGTATGCTTTTACATTACCAACAATCCAGTACACCCATAGACACTCTTCGTGCACAATTACATCGGAATATGCTTTTACATTACCAACAATCCAGTACACCCATAGACACTCTTCGTGCACAATTACATCGGAGTATGCTTTTACATTACCAACAATCCAGTACACCCATAGACACTCTTCGTGCACAATTACATCGGAATATGCTTTTACATTACCAACAATCCAGTACACCCATAGACACTCTTCGTGCACAATGACATCGGAATATGCTTTTACATTACCAACAATCCAGTACACCCATAGACACTCTTCGTGCACAATTACATCGGAATATGCTTTTACATTACCAACAATCCAGTACACCCATAGACACTCTTCATGCACAATTACATCGGAGTATGCTTTTACATTACCAACAATCCAGTACACCCATAGACACTCTTCGTGCACAATTACATCGGAATATGCTTTTACATAGCTAACAATCCAGTACACCCATAGACACTCTTCGTGTACAATAACATCGGAATATGCTTTTCATAACTAACAATCCAGTACACCCATAGACACTCTTCATGCACAATTACATCGGAGTATGCTTTTACATTACCAACAATCCAGTACACCCATAGACACTCTTCGTGCACAATTACATCGGAATATGCTTTTACATAACTAACAATCCAGTACACCCATAGACACTCTTCGTGCACAATTACATCGGAATATGCTTTTACATAACTAACAATCCAGTACACCCATAGACACTCTTCGTGTACAATTACATCGGAATATGCTTTTACATTACCAACAATGCAGTACACCCATAGACACTCTTCGTGCACAATTACATCGGAATATGCTTTTACATAACTAACAATCCAGTACACCCATAGACACTCTTCGTGCACAATTACATCGGAATATGCTTTTACATAACTAACAATCCAGTACACCCATAGACACTCTTCGTGTACAATTACATCGGAATATGCTTTTACATAACTAACAATCCAGTACACCCATAGACACTCTTCGTGCACAATTACATCGGAATATGCTTTTACATTACCAACAATGCAGTACACCCATAGACACTCTTCGTGCACAATTACATCGGAATATGCTTTTACATAACTAACAATCCAGTACACCCATAGACACTCTTCGTGCACAATTACATCGGAATATGCTTTTACATAACTAACAATCCAGTACACCCATAGACACTCTTCGTGTACAATTACATCGGAATATGCTTTTACATAACTAACAATCCAGTACACCCATAGACACTCTTCGTGTACAATTACATCGGAATATGCTTTTACATAACTAACAATCCAGTACACCCATAGACACTCTTCGTGCACAATTACATCGGAATATGCTTTTACATTACCAACAATGCAGTACAGTTAGTACCATTGATAGTAAGAAAGATGAACACAGGTCGTTATCTAGGACATTCCGAGGGGAAAATAATAGTTCAAATTACCTAAAGAATAAATAAATCAAATAGCTCAGTTAATAAAAGAACAAGTTAACACAAGTGAAACATATAATGTGAAATACACCCCTCCCCCGTCTATGTTGTTGTTGTCGGTCTATATTTTGAAATACCAAACTTTAACTGAAGAAAATGACAATTCACTTTATGCTATTATATTTCATATAATGATAACTGAAATGGTACATTTGTCAGCATTGCCTCCATTTAGGGACTGAAATGTCATACCAAAAATCCAGGACTGGCTCTAGCAATTGTAAAAGACGGGAAGGTTATATTGACAAAGGGCTATGGCGTTCGAGATTTATCTACAAATTCACCAGTTACTGATCATACATTATTTGGTATTGCGTCCATGTCCAAAGCATTTTGTTCGACTCTTCTGGTGAAATTGTTGGCCAAACATTCGAAGTAAGTTCCTATATGTATTCTTGAAATAATGTGATATATGATAGATAAAACTTGTTTGTATTTTGAATAATCCAAAATGCCTGTAGGATCAGATGCAATAAGAAATACGTTCAACAAAATAACGACACACAATATAGTATGTTATATAACAGGAAACAACTATAGCGAGTAACAAGTCAAATATTTATGTAAATAAACTACCCTCTACTTTGATGATGTATGCCAAAAAGAATGTAGCAGCAATTACATTAAATAAACATAAAGTACAAGAGGATGAAAATCTGTACATTTGACATTAATTTCACTAAGGATTTAAAAAAAAACAAACTTGTATGATACGAACCATCACAATAAAGGACACAAGAAACGATTGAAATATTTTTGCTATACATTTGAATCTTGTCATACTGTCCAATGGTCATAGTAAGTTATTTGATACAGCCTTCAATAAAAAATCAAGAAATGTTTACTGAATCAATATTTCCATAATTATTTGGGAAACACAATATAATGGGCAATAAAGTCGTGATGTTGACCACAAACAGTTACACCATATGCAGTTACACCATGGACACCACTCTCACAAAAATGTCTTTCGTATAGCAGTTTTATCAATTTGATTGATTTTGAAATAGATTTTAGCCTCAAATATAAACACATGAAAAAAAACCAAAAGGAAGCAGGTGTGTTACACATTGGGAAATGGAATTCCTCATACTTGGAAACAAACATCCTCAGGCAGCAGATCTGTGGTGTGAAGTAAAAATAATGAGATGTGGCTATCTATAAACTGACAAAAATGTATTACCAAACATTGCAGTATCATTGTATTGGTGGCTGAAATTGAAGCAGATATCTAACTTTATTCTACAATTTGATTTGAATGAATTTACTTTCTATATTAACTGACGTAAATAAGTGAAATGTTAGTTGTTTGCCGAAAGATTAGCACACTGCATTCTGCAAATATGTAATTGAATAAAAAGCACAAAAATCTTGCCTGCATATTATTTGGAGAAGTACCATGTTCCCTGGCAAATAGTTTCCTTACTCAGTGTCAAAGATGTATTAATTTTGTTGTCAATTATTTTTAAAGGAGTATTGATTACTGGACGCTCCAGATTAGAGAGACTTTCGGAACACTAAGCAGACCATACAATATCCCTTTCTTTGTAAGGAAATCTTTGTAATTTCAATATTTTATAAATGGAAGATATGTCATTCATGTCTCGATTATAAAGACGTGGAATTTCCAACTCATTTTAATCTGTGACTTTTAAAAATACTGATTACGAGTTTTCAGTTGTCTTCTTTTTCAGTATGAGCATATATAGTCATATTGCGGATATTTTACCAAATTTCAAGTTTACAACACATATTCGTACTGACAATGGAAATATACGAGACCTTCTATCTCATACTATGGGATTTCCACCTCATAATTCAATGAGATTGGATCCGAATTTTACAAGAGATGATATTGCAAGGTAAATTATGATTGTACTCTTCTTTGTAACTGTTTTTTCTTTAATCTCTTTCTTTTAAATAATATCCATGAAAAAAAAACATATCTGAACATGCATCCTTTTCTACGAAATATTCAATGTTTACCAAATCAGATTACAGTAAAAGTAAAAAAAAATGCATTTGTATGTATTCGTGTGTTTTGTAAAAGTTGTTTATAAACAATGTTACGTCTTGACGATTGGAGCTGGAACTAAATTTGCCCCTTACCATCGTTTTGACAGATAGTTATTAAATACAATGCATCATGCTTGCTATTACTGCAAGTGGTATAAAAAAAAATGCTCGCTGAAAAAAATTCTAGAAAAAAAGTCATTAGCACTAAACTAACAAAATCAAAAACGCAAGACAAGACAATTACAATTGCACAACACAAAAATAGACAGAATGTTCAAGGTAACCAAAAAATCTAGCTTATATTTTTAAACTGGAAAAAACGATATTAATTTCCTTTAGAAATATATGTAAATTAAATTTATACTAAACCAATACCAAATATTTCATTCTTTATTTGATCAAATAATATACACATCATTTCAATTCACATTTCCAGTCGCTCACAGAAAGTTCACAGTGTACATCCGTTTCGGGAGACTTACTTGTATAACAATATGATGTATGGACTGGCAAGTGTTGTTGCTGAAAGAATTGGCGGGAAACGATGGGAGGATCTAATTGAAGAAGAATTGTATACACCACTAGGAATGTCAAGTTCTTCTTTCATGACAAGAGTTGATTTGACTGGTAACGTTGCGAAGGGATATGCAACTGATGATGCAACGGGAAGTCCTGTGCCAGTGAATTTTGCTATGAACCGGTACTTATTTTGATTTTTTGTATGGGGTTTTAAAGGCTAAACATGTAGATAAACTCATCATAGATACCAGGGATAACAAAATTTACGTCAGACGCGCGTTTCGTCTTCAAAAGACTCATCACATGTCAGTGACGCTTGAATAAAAAAAAATAATAAGGCCAAATAAAGTAAATCAAATAAGGTTAAAGAGCAGAGGAATTCCGAAAGGTTTCGCCAAATACAGCTACGGTTATCATTCCTGGAAAGATGTGTGCTTCTGAGGGATTCATATCCTTGAATTGACCGAATTTAAGACTTGCCTCGTCTCTCGCTCTGATTTAGTACATAGGTAGAGAGATGAAGTCAATGAGATTGGCCTTTGTACACCTTTCATCTTCTTTATGTTAAGCCTTTATCTGAAATCTGGGGGATTTACTCCTTTCAGTTTATTCCCTTAATACGGGAATAGTAAAATTACCTTTTGTGTAAGTTGTAGAAAGGCGGTAAACAGATCTCTTAGCTACTAAAATGTCAAATGCCAATAGTATTGCATATCAAACTGTTATTCATATTCATGATTTAAAACATGGCTTCCTTAAATGATTAGTGAAGAAATTACTTTAATATTACAGATAAAAGTTAATTCATGTGGATTTGTTTATTCTCGTTATTGCCCTTTTGGTCATATAGCTCTCTAATTTTTCAAGTATTTACATACCGGTATTCTTGGCTCTTAAATGTTTGGGTTTGAGCGTTCTATTACTGGGTGAATGGTTGTGCCGGAGGTAACACCATGGTGATATGCTTTATAGCATTTTTGTAAATTAGAAATTAAAAAGACACTAAGGATTCAATTACTTCATGCAAATATGATCTTAAGTGGACTTGGCTATTCTTTTTAGGTCACTGATGGTCATGTAGCTCCTCAATAATTTCGTGCATTCTTAGCTCTTAAAGTAGTCAAGTACTTTTATATTCTCATTCTGTCCCATTCGGTCACATAGCTCTCCATATGTTCAATTATTTACACATCCTTTGGTTATAACGTTTTGGGGTTGAGCGTTTCTGATGAAGGTTAATCCAGTACGCGCTTTAGAAGCACCAAATTCGTAGTGTTATTTTAATGTTCTACCACTGGGTCGATATCTTTGCTGGTGGACTGCTAGTCCTCGAGGGAAACATCAATATAGTTTTTAGTGCTTCGGTACTAACATGATTTATAACATACATCTGTTAAATTCTCCTTTGATAAATTAAAAAACTATCAAGAACCTAAAGTTCCAATTCCTTTAAGCAAAGTTGACCTTGTGATTTATATAGAGTTTTTGCATATTTTCTCATCAGGAGGAAGTTTAAAAGGAAACAATTATGGAAAATAAAAAAATAGTTTGGGCTTACACAACACATTCAATACGTGACATGGTTAAATTATTTCGAAACCATTTGCTGGTGAAAAGTGACTAAATTAACAAGGATTTACCCAGATAATGGCATGATTGAATACTTACATACGTGGACTTTGATAAATTTTCAGTGTCCAACTATTTTGAAATGGTATGAAATCCTTTCGTTAATTGTTCACCTAAGATGGTAGTGCCAGGACTTTAGTCTCTAATAATCCTGATATCTTTGATGAGTTTTCTTACTATTTTTATGGATTTGATTAACACAATAATTTTGCACGTGTTTATCTGCAGTTTTATAATATACTGGTTATATATATAATGCAAACTGTGGATTGTACTTATTTGATCTTTTACTTATCTAATTGGAACCGTGAAAATGTTATCCTGAACTATGTTTTTGATTTTCCAACTTTTAGATCAGAACTCACTTGATGATAATCAATCTACAAAAGCACTTTGACTAGAACCAATTATGTGTTTTCAGTTCAGATTTACCATTAGTGAAAATAAACCCATCATAGATAGCAGGATTCACATTTTTGTACGCCAGACGCGTTTTTCGTCTCTAAAAGACTCCTTAGTGTCGCTTGAATAAAAAAAGTTAAAAAGGCCAAATAAAGTACGAAGTTGAAGAGCAATGAGAACCCAAATTTCTGAAAACCCTGACTTGTAAAATTCTGGTATCTAGATGTCGAACATTCCACGTAAAGTGGCAGCAACCCGACAGTACAAACAAATTTACTGCGAACGAAAATATTTATTTCAGCAGAGATATTCACCACATAAAAAAACAGAGCTAAAATTTATATTGTAAAAATCAATTCAAAAAGTGTCACTTTGAACCCAATTACTACTAGGCAAAGCGTGAAGACTATGTTTGCTATGAACCCTTTAAACATGGTGAGGTTCAGCTGTCTTATCAGAAGAGTCGATGTCATATTGCAGTTAATTGTTATGTTCATATCGAAAAACAATTTAAGGTTATCGCTTAGATATAATTATAAGGTAAGCACGATTGTCACGCGAACGAACAGTTTTGATCATTATATTTTGATTGACAGACGGTGGGGACAAATGGGTGGATCTACCAATATCATGAGTAATGCGGTGGACATCTCAAAGTGGATGCTTTTCCATTTGAATAAGGGACGTAACCAAGCAGGACAACAAATTTTAAGTGAGAATGATATGGAGACACTCCACAAAAGGCGGAATACTATCACAGCTCCAACGTCAGAAAAATATTTCTCTAGACCACAAGTTCCAGTGTCCTCTTTAGAAGAAAACTACGCCTTGGGATGGAAAAATGGAGTATACAGAGGCAAGTCTTATTTACTGTTCAGATTTGTAACACATGTCTCCGCATTCTTTTTCCATTTCTAATGGTGTCAGGCTGATATTGGCATTCATCAATTTTTAATGCAGTCAGCTCATTGACAGAAAAAAAAAACCCCAGCAAATAGAATATCGTTAACATTGTGGTTTATTGATTGAATATGTTTGCCTAAAATTGATTTCCTGAAGTTTGGAGATTGTTATCTTGTATTGACAGGTGCTCATTGTTCTATCGAGGATGCCTCATATATATCAAAACCTATCGGAGGCTAAAATATATAAACAAAAAAATGGCAGCACATCCCCACTGTATTTTGAAGATAAACATGATATTACAGAAATGATTGTATGATTTAATGGGTTGTTTTTCTATATGAATTTTCCATGATCAGAAAAGCTACAAACAAGACATTTGGAAGCCAATGATGTACTTGTACAAATATTAAAGGAGCTATATGATCAAAAAGGACATAAAAAGAATAACCAAATATATCTAAGGTCAATTTTGTCTGATCATGGAAGTATTACATTGTCAATATAATACTTCCATGGACTGATGGAGTTGGAACCTTAGTTTCTTAATGATTTCTTATTTTCTGAACGTAGAATTTAAGAAAGGTGAGGTCAGTATCAAAGCTTTGACTACTGAGCTGATGATACCTTCAGAGACTAGCTTCATCAGAAACGGTCAAACCCAAATGAAAAAGAAAATTCTAAGGATCTTAAATCTGCATTCATCTGTCTCATTCATTGATGTATACCCAACAACCCCTTTAATTCACAGAAAAACTTGACTTATGATGAGATCATAGGGAAATTGCATATTTAAAATCACTTAAAACGCGATGAATAGTAACACTTAGAGACTGAAGAGCACTGAAGAACAATCGTGATTTCGAAAATTCTTGTGACTTTAATTTAGAAGATGAAAAATAACACAAAGAATAGTTAACATATTTTAAGTCGTTTAACAATTTCCTGACCCGAATTTTTGTATCGCTTGATTTCAGTTATTCATGTGTCAAAATTCACTGATAGCGTTTGATTTTGTCAGTTTTTATGGACTTCTCCTTTTTGAATTTCATTTGGAGTTCGGTAACCTTTTTTCAATCATGAAAAGGGCGAGCAAGTCTGATAACCATTTATATAAAGAAAAGGATCTTTAAAGAAAAAGAAAATAATGTTGTCTATGTAACGTCTAGAATTATTAGAGGAACGGATATCACATGTATCACCACGGTATCTAGTATGATACGATATTTTTCCACACTCGACAGATAAATATATCTCAAGAGGAGAAATATCGTATCATGCTCGCTGCAGTAGTAATATCGATATGAATCGGCATACGATCGTATTCTGTACTTTGTATTTTAACCCCTGCCCTTAAATAATACATGTAGTTTTGGCATGGGTGTTAATTTTAAGAAATCGAGTATGTTACTATTTTTCTAGGATACAGAGTTTTACGACACACTGGTACAACATGGGGTTATAGTTCCTTGGTGACACTGATTCCGGACATGAACATAGGTTTTTTCACAACAATGACTGGTGACGATTCCGGATATAGATTCCGCTATTTACTCCACAACTATATCGGAGATCTGCTGCTAGGAGAGGGGCCATGGTTAAATAAAACAACAGTATGTTCCTTTCCCGAACCGTGGTATAACCAATCTTCTAGTGGTTATCATCCGATTAACAAGAGTATCCACCCAACAAGGTCGCTAAGTTTTTATGTAGGCGTTTACCACAACAGTATGTACGGCGACCTACACGTTTTCATGAATATGTCAGCAAACACGTTGCAGATGAATTATGGGATAGGATCATGGCTTCTATATCCAAAAGGAACATCTGACAAATTTGTTGGCGAAGGGACTAATATTGTTCACAAAATTATTGATCTTTCTTCAATACAATTTCATTCTTCTAATTTGCATGGTAGAAGTACCATCAATAGCGTAAAAGTAACAAGCTTTGAGACAAGAGCGCCTCCTGTATTCACCAAAACAAGCAGTCAAGTCAACACCGGGAATATTGTCGGCTGAAATTTATGTAAATTATTTGATTGAAATTCTTAAAGTAAAATTAAGACACGATTTATGCATTATTTTTATACTCTTTTAGTTTGTTGATAAAGTAATTTTATGTGTAGTGATAAGCCCACTGGTGTGAGGATTAGTAAACGTAAAACGGTGACTAAACATCGTGTCTTTGTTTGAAAATAAGGATTCTTCATTAATTTTCCCAACGTTAGTAAATCCTGATTTTTATGGTTCTTCTGCGAACTAGGAATCTACTGGATATTAAAGTCAGCTTGACAATGCATTTCGTAGACCATTCAAACTTCGCAACAAGAGCGGTGAATCTATACTTAACATAATATTAATACTGAAGCTTTTATTAAAAAAATATCCATCCTTTCATTTACACACATTAAACCAGCAACGCTGAAAATGCAAAATAAAGCAAAACGAAGCAGACATGGTTTGACACATTTAGAAAACAGCTTTTGTTTGTAAGATTTGTCTCCGCTGATCTGATAAACTCTGGTGGATCTTTTGATTCAAAATTTGGTATCTCTAATTTTACAGTTTTATTTTCAAAACGGAATTTAAATGAGTAAAAGTTGAATATGTGTGCCGTAGTCCCGATAGACTCACCATAAAATTCATCTGTTTTGTTTTTAGGATACAAAACGAAGTTACCAAAACCATAAACCACTGTTAATTTGTTACCATCTTTGTGTTTTTTCACTTCAAGGTTTCCATAAGCATGATTCTTGTATATTCCATAGTAGTCAGTAATCTGACGCGTAGGATTCCTACCTTTACTGTACCTTGGCTTAGAAGATTTAACTTTTGCATCTAGCCATGGTCTTGGATAGGAGCAAATTGTCGATGAGTTTAACCAAGGTGTATAACCCATATATATGTCAAATATTACATTATGTAATGATTGTCTGTATAAATAACTGGGATCATTTCCGGTCATGGCAGTATAAATGGCTACGTCAGCATCTGGGAAAACGGAAAGCAATGCTCTGTAACCAAACGTAGTTCCCGAATGTTCTAGCATTTTGTATCCTAAAATAAGAAGAAAATATTTTAATTTTAAGAATAAAAAATGAGAAAAAATTTAACAGTTGATGTTTATACTTATGTATATGCGTATATTTAAGTTTGTGTACGACTGATATTTCTGAGAGGATTTGTTCAATGATATCGTCGGCATCTGCGCGTGCTAGTTTATAGAATGAAGATATTTAATGATTTTTAATATACCCGTGTCTTTCACGTGGATAAAAGGATATATGATTACAAATAAGGGATTGAAAATATGCAGAACAATTATGACAGGAATAAATATATATATATTTATACCTCTATAGTGTCCAGTTCTCCACCCCAAGGCATATCCTGTATTACTTGTTGTAACAGGAACTTTTGGTTTTGTAAAATATGTTGACGTATAGGTAGTCGCAATGACATTTCCTGGTCTCGTTAAATCTTTAAAGGCCTCTTTTGAAATAAGTCTTGTGCCATCAGCTAGTTTCCCTTCATCAAGATAGAATTTCATCCATTTTGCCATATCACGTGCCGAAGACAATACACAACCAGAACCACACAAGTCTGCCCATCGTCTGTAAAATATTTAAAAAAGAAAACAATGCTTTATAAATTTCATGCATCGGAAGCTTTTTCCTGGATTAAGTTTATCAGGACCACTCAAAGCAGAATATTTGTAAGCAAAGGATGTATAAGAACAGTTTAAGAGCTTAAGACCAAAAAGTATGATAATAAGTAAACGATCATAGGCGTCTTTTATGTGTGTACAGAAACGTGAAAATACATGTTAATGTTCGGATTGTTTTAGTTTATGATCTAAAGTGGTTGGTTTGTGGTGTAAAATCGAGATTTGACAAATGTCCAACTTATACAAGAGAACAAAATAAATGAAAATTTGAATAAAAGAATTATGATTTTACATGTAATCTATGCCTCCTAGTTTCAGGCATAACTTCGACGAAAATTGACACACATTTTACCAATAAATGTCGACAATGTTTTCACATAGCAAGCATAATATGGCAAATACAAAGCAATTTGGAATTCTGACGAAAATGTTTTTTAACAAAACAAGCAGACCGGGCATTCCATTAGCTTTTCGCAATATGTTTAATAATACACTTATTGTTTCTATCCTGATACGCTTTAATAACACAGGATTCAATGTTTAAAAAGTGGAAGTCTAGCAAATTTGTTCAGAGATGCGTTTTCAAAGACGGCTTGATAAGAACTTCTTTGACTGAAATGATGCCTGAAGCAATTTATATTATTTGAAAAAAAAGACTGGAATTATTTTTTGGAGGCAATAAACCATCAAAAAGTGCCTCCTCTCGTTTGTCCATGTACAACATAATTATATTAAATTTACAAAATCAAATACATAACTATGATCAAAAACATTTCCCACTGATGAGTGACTCATAAGAAAACGACACCGGAAACTTATCGTAGACGGTTAAATAAGAATACTTCAATATACATGTATTAAAAAAAATAATAAAAATAATGCAATTTTTTTTTCTCGAAATAATAGTCTAATTTTACAATATTATAAGTCTCTTTCAAATAAACTATAAGATATAAGATTAGGATTAAATAAATACAACGTGCCTTGTTAAATCTCACCTGGAAAACTCAAATGGAACAGGTTTCAAATTACCATAATAATCAATGTACCCCTTAGCTAAGTCAATCTTCTCAAAGTCAGCTGTTGTCAAAAAGGAAGAAGAGTTCATACCGATTGGATCAAACAGATGTGTCTTTACTAATTTCTCCCAACTTTCTCTACCAATCAATTCAGCGATATGCGTCAGTACACCATATATCAAATTGTTGTAGAAGAAACTGTCTCGGAACGATCCTTTTGATTGTAAATACTTCAATCGGCTAAATAATAAGAAAAATGATTTTCATTTGGTGAGTCAAAAAATGTCAACATCATAATTATCGTCAGGTTTATAAACTAATGTCCTACTGATTTGCAGGATTTTAAATTTGAAATGGGTGTGCAAAAACTGCTAAAAAGTAGAAGCAGAATGCACAGTAAAAATTAGTGAACGATTTAAATTAAAAAAGAACCTTAAGTTATTAGCATCCTTATTTAACGTATGAATGAGAACCTTACGCATAAGTTTGAACATATTGCATTATTCTAGAACTGTATTTTTTCTAATACTGACTTGATTGATAACCACATTACAAATAGAACAAGTATACATAGTTTATTGAGAAAATGAAAACCAATTGAACTTACAAACACTTAGTTAGGTATATCAATAACGTCATTGCCCAACTTTGATGACTCAACTGCTTTAAAAAGTCCGCGAAATAAATTTCATCACCACGGTGTTTCGAAAAATGTGAAGTCCGAAATAACTTGAATTATCATAAGTCAGGGTATTAATATACAAACAAACAAAGTGCATTTCCAGAGTTTGATTGTATAGGGGCCAGCTGAAGCCCGTCTCCGGGTGTGGGATTTTCTCGCTGTGTTGAAGATCCATGGGGGGCCTTGAGCTGTTTTCTGCTCTTCGGTCAGGTTGTTGTCTCTTTGACACATTCCCCGTTTCCATTCTCAATTTTATTACATACGATTGCCATGTCATATCTTGTGTCAAAGTCAGGAACACGATTCGAAATGAGATCTACGACAGAGTTTTGGCTATGAAAGAAAATTGTCCAGAAACACAGGTTTTGAGCACAGAAGTAATAAAACATTTCTTTTGAAATTTGAAAAAGTAAGAAACTGTATAATAAGTATGACTGAATCCCCACCACAAATTAAATAAAATAAAAACAACATCAACCGACGATGTTACGTTGATATTAACCCAGTAGAACTGAACTATTATAAAGATGACTGGTTGTTGGTTGCTTAACGTCCAGTGGAAATTATTTCATGCATGTTCAGAACAATATTACAAAGAGCGATTTGTTTAACTTCATATAGAATTATGATTTGTCTTGATATTAATGTTTAGCATGATATATTAAATGGTTTACTTACTGTATTACATTAGCACGTGTCAAATTGTTATCCAATCGTATACGGTTGTTTCCTGGTATCCCCAGTTTATGAGATAAAAGATCTCGTATGGTAGCATACTTTGACCTCAACGAATCGAGAAAAATCCCTTCGTTTTTGAAGATGGTACTGACTTTTGTGTTTAAAGAGTATCTGAAATTATACTTATATATATATATATACATAAATCACAAATGTAGGGATTAAGTGTATAATTGCTTTACATACAAGATAAAGAAAAATATGACCTATCATGTAAAGCTTTTTATGATTTAATTATTTTAAAAGCAAATTAACAAGTGTAGCAATCAATTTTGTGTACAGATTTATATATGATATTGCATAAGTTCATGTCTTGCTACACTATTAGTTACGCCTATAAATATGAAATCTACTCTGAAGTACAGCCATTGATATTACAATTTAGAACACAATGATTTCTATATTGAGCCGAATATAAAGACTCTTAGGAAAGCTTCATGTAGTGACGTGAATGGCGAGATTCAATTTATATTGTTTAATGAACCAGCTAATTATTTCTAAATGATAAGAACCGAAGTTATATTGTTAATGCTGTAAAATTACATGGGTTTATAAAATTGTAGTTTTTATGCAAAAAATAGATAGAAAGAGTTATTTTGATAAATTTGCTGCAGAAGTTTTTCAGGCAAGAAAGTGGAATGATATTTTTCATAAGGAATTATCTGTTTTCTTGCTTAAAGTGAACCATATATTGTTTGATTAACCTGTGCATTTACTGGCTGTATTTTAGAACCCAAAAAGGTCACTTCTAACTTCTTTTTGGGGTTGCTAATGAATTGAGAAACCATGTTTTTTTAAACAGTTTAAACCATAACTATTTCATAATTTAAAGAAGAAACAAAAAAATGTTTTCCGGTTTTCAAAGAAAGCTCCGTTTTCACAAGAGTATCCGTATTTTGTTCAATGAGCTGAGCATGTATAACACAACGCCCTGCAAACTTAAAATCACGGCTACACCCAAAACCATTTCAATTCTTCATGAATATTTGAATTTTTATTTGATAAAAATGTAAATTTTATTTTATGAATATAAATAGTCTCGTATCATCCTTATTCAAAGATCCTATAATAACATAACAAATGACTTTAAATATAAAATTTACTTTCTTGAACAATGAGTTTGAATGATTTTCAAATGATAACAACACATTTTATTCAATGGGTGCCTCACAGTGCAAATAGAAAGAAAAGATATAAGGTAATTCATTCTCCATACTTACTTTGTGTTCTCTTCAATAAGTTTCACAAGTAATGTACTTGCAAAAGCTTTTGACAATGATGCGACTCCAAACAACGTATCCGCAGTCACTGTATCGTTCGTTTCTATATCCTTCACGCCATATCCTTTTTCTAAAATAACATTTCCAGATGACACTACAGCAACTGAGACACCAACAATCTGTTTTGATTTGCATCGGAAGGTTTCTTGAATTATGGTGTCAATCTTTGCAAAACAGTCTGGAGACCCAGCAATCACATTACAAGATACAGATAGGAAAATGAAAACGCACACAGCATACATATCCAATGCTAAATGAAAACCTCTTCCATTATACCATATATATATACATGTATTTAAGGTGAAGTAGTTGTTTTAACGTTTCAAAGGATCATCAAGTGGGTGTAAATAGCCATTAATTGGGCAAATGACAGTATTTAAATACAACTACTTGGACTTAAGCCATAAATTCAATCAGTAGTGTGATTTCATTAAAACTATTTGCTCTTCAAATGTTTAACATTTAACAAATACTTAATGCAGAAAACTGAAATCTCAACAGTTTGATAGCGATGAAGATAGATTTGCACTCGTGTGCTATACATGTAAATGAAATTCGATCGCAATTTTAAAGAAGAAAACAGAATTCATATTTCATCCTTTTTCTTTCCATTGAACTATTAAAAGTATATAAAAAACAGATATATAGATATAAGAAGATGTGGTATGAGTGCCAATAAGACAACTCTCCATCCAAGTCAAAATTTATAAAAGTAAACCATTATAGGTCACAGTACGGTCTTCAACACGGAGCCTTGGTATGTATAGTTCAATGGAAATTTTCATTTTTGTGCAGTAATGGCCTAATAATTTTTTCATTTAAAAAAATCGTAAAAATTTAACATATCGTTGTATTCATGCAGTTCTTAATGTTTGCAATAGCTTATAGGCAATCCTTTAACAAGTTTACTATATGCATACGTTTCAGATCCGCTGATTTGGAGCAAAATGATTTGCATGACAGCATTATACACGTGTAAATCACATATACACGTGTAAATCACACAAAGAGTCAAATAATTCACTTGCTCTAAAAATTTACAAAGCAACTGAAAAAAACCACTCATGGATAATAAATATGAAAAATCTTATTCGAAACTTGGATTTCATTATATTAAATTATAAATCTAAATCCTTTTGATTTAAAATTTGTTTAAAACACATCCAAGAGATCATCAAAGATACAGCCTTTCAATAGAAAGAGACTGACATCAAATAAAAAAAAAATAAACTTCTTTAATATACTATATAAACCAAATATAAGACTCTCATATGTCGATCAATGCAAATCCAAATGTGATAGATCAACATTATGAAAGTTGAGGATAAGTGCTCATACTTTATCTGTTGAAAGAGGGCGATATTTAAATATACCAAAGCAGAGCCTATAGGATATGTCTTTGCTGCAACAATGAAGACATTGAAGATGAACTACATTTTCTTTTAAAATGTTCTTCCTATAAATATTCGAGAGATAACCACATTAAAAAGTTAAATAATCTTCTATTGAACAACAAATTACCTTCTTTATCATATAACTTGCTTATATCAATTCTAAATAGTAATTCTCCAACAGTATTAAAAATTGTTGTGAATTATTTGAATAAATGCTTGTTAGTGAGAAACTCATTGTCAAAAGGTACTTGATTTTTTTTATATTTTTCTCATACTTATCCACGTACTGTCACTCCTTCATTGTACATATGTTATCGTAGTTTGTCTGTATATATATATATTTCTCATACTTATCCACTGTCACTCCATCATTGTACATATGTTATTGTAGTTTGTCTGTATATATATTTTTCTCACACTTATCCACTGTCACGCCTTCATTGTACTTATGTTATTGTAGTTTGTCTGTATTTATATATTTTTCTCATACTTATCCACTGTCACTCCATCATTGTACATATGTTATTGTAGTTTGTCTGTATATATATTTTTCTCATACTTATCCACTGTCGCTCCTTCATTGTACATATGTTATTGTAGTTTGTCTGGATATATATATTTTTCTCACACTTATCCACTGTCGCTCCTTCATTGTACATATGTTATTGTAGTTTGTCTGTATATATATTTTTCTCACACTTATCCACTGTCGCTCCTTCATTGTACATATGTTATTGTAGTTTGTCTGTATATATATTTTTCTCATACTTATCCACTGTCACTCCTTCATTGTACATATGTATTGTAGTTTGTCTGTATATATATTTTTCTCATACTTATCCACTGTCACTCCTTCATTGTACATATGTTATTGTAGTTTGTCTGTATATATATTTTTCTCATACTTATCCACTGTCACTTCTTCATTGTACATATGTTATTGTAGTTTGTATATATATTTTTCTCACACTTATCCACTGTCACTCCTTCATTGTTCATATGTTATTGTAGTTTGTCTGTATATATATTTCTCTCATACTTATCCACTGTCACTCCTTCATTGTACATATGTTATTGTAGTTTGTCTGTATATATATTTTTCTCACACTTATCCACTGTCACTCCTTCATTGTACATATGTTATTGTAGTTTGTCTGTATATATATTTCTCTCATACTTATCCACTGTCGCTCCTTCATTGTACATATGTTATTGTAGTTTGTCTGTATATATATTTTTCTCATACTTATCCACTGTCACTCCTTACATATGTTATTGTAGTTTGTCTGTATATATATTTTTCTCACACTTATCCACTGTCACTCCTTCATTGTACATATGTTATTGTAGTTTGTCTGTATATATATTTTTCTCATACTTATCCACTGTCGCTCCTTCATTGTACATATGTTATTGTAGTTTGTCTGTATATATATTTTTCTCATACTTATCCACTGTCACTCCTTCGTTGTACATATGTTATTGTAGTTTGTCTGTATATATATTTTTCTCATACTTATCCACCGTCACTCCTTCATTGTACATATGTTATTGTAGTTTGTCTGTATATATATTGTTCTCATACTTATCCACTGTCACTCCTTACATATGTTATCGTAGTTTGTCTGTATTTTGTTGCCATAACCATTTATTGTTAATGTGTTAAATAAGTTATCTTATCTTATCATGATATATAAAATATTACTTTCCTTCAAGTTTTATTTTTTTAATTTTTATCACAAACGTTAAGCAAAAATGAATGATACTTATTATAAACGACAGGAAGGAACATCACCGTCCAAAAAAGAAAAATTTACAATAGGGAATGAAAAATCGTTCCTTTTGTCGTAGATGTTTGTGTAGAGTTTCCCGTGTAAAACTGAAATATCTAAATTTAGGAAGGGACAGTTATTACCGTTTTTTGATTTATTAAAAGTAGGTTCCTTTGGGTAAATTTCGGCAGTATATTTAGAAAATTCTTGATTATTTGACGACAAAATATCATCAAGATAACGGTAATGTTGTTGAATTTATCAATTAAATGCTATTAGACGGGTCTTTACTGAGTTTGGTCATAAACTGTACAGGAACAAGTCTGCTATTAAAGGGAAGCGATTGGTGCCCATATGAATACCTACAACCTGTTCGGATACATTTTATTGTCGAAACGTACATAAATATCATCAAGGAGAAAATTAACAGTTTCAATCCAATCATCTTATCATACCTCTAGTAAGTATATCTAGTATATTTACCTTTGTCATTAAAGAAAGCATTTTGTCATCAACAAATTAAAACATAACTAAAATTGTATTCTTTTCGAATGGTTTTTTGGGATGCATAAATACACATCCACGTTTATTTTCTATTTAGAATTTGTTATATCTATACATAGCACCATACATATTTATTATAAGGTTAAATCCTAACTATCCTACTGCCTGTCGTTACTTTGGCATTGCACAAGTCATGTCTTCTTTGACTGTCCATGGCGTTAAAACACTAAATCCCTGCCTGGGACGTGTTTTAATTGATTTTAGTCTCTGATGCATGATTTTTTATTATTAATTTTTTTTGGCTTTTAACTAGCTTTCAGTAACTGCGAGTACTCTCAAATCGTACTTTTGTGCTAATTTGACCTGTTGACACAATTTGTAATGCATTTCTGTTATTCAATGTTTACTTATATTGTGTTATATCTCGTCTTACTATTTTTAATATGTATCACCTATGATAAGTATTTAGCATGACGAAAAAAAATTTCACTTCTGTACTCGTACTATGAATAACAAATTTATTTTGTAAAAAATGTTTCTGTACTCCTAACAACAAAATTATTATATTTAAATTTACCTGTGTACGTTACTTTATCTAACGCCATTTTGTCCTAGGTTAAAGTTGTCTTTTTGACATTGAAACATCTTTTTTTATTTATATTGTGTCATAGATCAAACTTATTCGTTCATTGTATATTTACTTGCTTTTGTGTATTGTCTTTTCAATTGATATTTTATTGTGTGTCTTTCTATGCTGTAATGTTATACCACTGTTTTAGGTTAGGTTAAAGGTTGGCGCCTGTTAAAACGTTTAAACCCGCTGCATTTTTATGCACCTGTCCTAAGTCAGAAGCCTGTTGTTCAGTGATTGTCGTTTGTTGGTGTGGTTCATAAGTTTTTCTCGTTTCTCGTTTTTTATATAGATTAGACCGTTGGTTTTCCTGTTTGAATTTTTTTACACTAGTCTTTTTGGGGCCCGTTATAGCTTGCTGTTCGGTGTGAGCCAAGGATCCGTGTTGAAGGCCATACTTTGACCTATAATTGTCTACTTTTAACACATTGTGACTTGGATGGATAGTTGTCTCATTGGCACTCATACCACCTTTTTATTTATATTTAAATGAGTTGCAGCAAATATATTTGCAATCAGATTTACCAAACGACCATTAAATTAAATAGGAAAAGTTTTGTTTGATAAGATTGTGTGGAAGTGTTTTCAACTGATTTTTATAGTTTGTTCATATGTTGTGCTATTACACCACTGTCCCAGATTAGGGGAGGGTTGGGCGCCCGCAAATATGTTCAACCCCGCCACATTCTGTGTGTGCCTTTCAGTGGTTGCCGTTTGTTGCTGTATATCATATTGTTTTGTACTTAAATCAGGCTGTTAGTGTTCTTGTTTGGATTGTTTTACATTTGTCATTTCGGTGCCTTTTGTAGATGACTATGGAGTATTGGTTTTTCTCATTGCTGAAGGCCGTATGGTGACCTATAGTTGTTAACTTCTATGTCATGTTGTCTCTGGTGGAGAGTTGTCTCATTTGCAATCACACCACATCTTCTTATTGTTATATTAATTTTGATTTGTTCGTCAAAAATGTTGTCACAGCGTAAACAATCGATGGGTTACTCAGTTAATTTACCGACTGATATTTTGATTTAATGTACCCATTTTTGATGTTATGCTTTATTGAAATCTGTAAATTTCTCGGATGTATGGATGATTAACAACACCAATAGTAAATTAGTAAAAAAAAATAATTTCTTATTTGTAATTTAAAAATAATATTTGAAGGAAGTTTACTGATATTTGTTATAATTGTCTTCACTTTATTTAGAAAAAAAATATTTATGAGCGAACTGAAATCTGACTCTGTTAATGATAAATATAGATAAAAGGAAACATAAAGTTCCATAAAATGTTGAAATCGATATGGATTTTATATCATATCAAATAAATACCTGCTGGTATAAAAGCTCCTAGACAAAGCTGTGTAGATCAAACCGATTGCAGATAGACAAATTATATTTGAATGTTTTAAGGAAATGACGGAGTCTTATTCGTCAATAGTAATTCAACGACGTTTAAAAATAAAAGATCTACAGGTCAACATAAGTTATTGACGCTTTTAAAACAACTTCTAAAATTTTCTTAGACAATATATTGCATATTTCGATAAAAGGAATAAGAAAATTTGACATCAGGGAAACATGTTCATTTGCTTTCTGTATTCTTTATTTTGTATGATACAACGCAATACGTTGCTTAATTATAATTCATAACGATTGTGTATTATTATTGCATTAAATAAAAGATGTTTGTTATATTGTAAGATGGTCTGCCCTTGAATTTATCTCTGACTCTCAGCAGAAGAATGACTTCTGTGAGAGTAGATTCTGAACCTTTTCCTTTCTGGGAGACTAGCTTGTAGTAATGCCCGGGAGGGTATAAGCCTGTGGCAATTGCTGCCGGTGTAGAGATAGGCCGGAATCGACTGACACCTATTAATACAAGGAGAGGTTCGCATTTTTTTTTAATAAAGAAGAAGTAACAATACAAGATAGATAAAAATTTGGACATTAAAACAAGTTGAAAAACAATAATTAGATTAAACATAAATTTTCAATCAATTTCTAGATATTATAACAGCGTTTTATATGACGTTAAAGCCTCTTTGCTTTTAGACTTGGGAACTAATGGTTGTCCGTTATATTCCTATATCTTTTCTTATTTTCATTTCACTTCGGTGTTGATGGCAAATCAGTGAAACTTTCTGATACATCTTATTCGCACGTGTTCTAGGGTCTGTACGAGCTTCATATGTAGTGTAATTACACATGAAGACTGTTGACTTAACTGAATATATTTCTTTTTTGTTTTGTTGCTGTCTCATTGGCCTATACCCGATATCTGCTTTTAACTACATGATATTACAAAGTATGAGAAAATGGGGGAAAATATCTGAAATATATGACCTTTTCCTTACAAAATACATTTTCATGTAAAAATTATCAGTTAATGGATAATTTTAAGTACAGAATAAACATTAAAACTCACAATCATACTTTTCCAATAAATTAGTTTTTTTTTCTTTTTAATCACAATTTTAAACGATTGACTATCTTAAAACCAAAAGGACATTACAACAAAAAGTATCTATTAACATCAATTGAAAGCAACAAATTGCGAATAAATGTACAATGTGGACTCTCTTTTATTGGGATATAAAATTTTTGTTGAAGGAATATGCATCAAGCAAATATTCTAAGCAAAAATAAGATATAATCAATGAAGGCCTTTTATCAATAAATTAAAGTGCATGTGGTACATGCATGACTTGTGCATCGAACTAATATAAAACTACATTTTTTTTCAGTTTTGGAAGCTTTCTACATAAGATTTTATACACAACACATATTTTTTGATAAAATTCTTAGGTAACTCAATCAATGCGGTAAATGAATGATTAAACAGACCGTAACCAAGGCAAAGTGCAGGAAATGAGTTAATATGGAATTGTTATGGATATCAATAAAATCCAAAGTCCAAAGATAGCAAAACTGTATTAATATACTGGATTAAAGATTCTGGATATTTAATAGATATAGTTTTATATACAGTATCAGTAATGCTATGCTGCTAAGATGGGGAAACTGATAAGGTTTGCATTGTGTGGATTCTGTTGTATATTTTTGGTTGATACAGCTTTGGGTGAAATAATTCCAACACCTCGTATAAAGAGACAAGATAATTTATATGCATTAGAATCTATAATACGGAGCATCAAACCAACATCTTTCTACACATGTGCTGCAATTTGTCTGCAGATGAAAATATGCAAGTCTTTGAATTATTATAAAGACGAATGGAAATGTGAACTGAATTTTGGTCGATCTACCAAAGAGAAAACTTCTGTAACTTTCGTCGATGCAATTGACATACCTATGGTAAGTTGATTATTTAAATATAAAAAAAACGGTAAACATTTGAATTACATTTATTTTTGATTGTCTTTAAACCTTACTCGAATTTTGATATAAAAAGGCAAATAATTTTTATATAATTTGCATATCTGCAAATTCTTGTAAATAATTTGGTCCGTTAGAATTGTTTCCTTGGTTTACACTGTTAGTTATCCCTATCTATATATATTAATAGCGAGTCACCATTTGGATATCTGTCGAACTAATTTAAATTGCATTCGGTATAGATATTGAGACTAGTTTTTTTTTCTTCCAAGCTTGCAAATAATAGCACATATTCTGGTGAATGTTAGAGTCTTCAGTACAAATATGGCTTTAAAGGACCGACATGCAACTGATCGACTATAATAGCATTTAACAGTACCAATTTTTCTGCATCAGATGCGTATTTATACAATTGCTGTATCTTCAGTGATGCTAGAGGCCATAATATTTTTAAACCCAAAACTTATTGCAAACGTTGATGAGCTGATAAAACCAAAAAGAACAAAAAGTAAAACCTAACCAGAAAGGAATCAGAGCTATGCATTAAGGAGATAAATTCCTTAATCTAAAATGATTTCGAAATTTTAAAGTGTGAAGTTTTAGATTAAAGAGCAAACAAAAGAAACGCTTTAAAGTTTCTCAACAAAAGTTTCTATATACATGTAGATAATGATCGTTTCTTTGGATATATTGTAGGAATATGCAGGACATTGCAAAAACCATAACTGTACACGTGAAGAGAGATGTTTTACAGATAAAAGTCTCAATGTTCTATGCTTACCGTTAAGTACGTAGATATTTTAATACATAAATTTGTTCATTTAAGTAATAACTATTTTGGTAGTATCAATATTACACAGAAGTTTTCTTTATCATGTTAAATTACCAAATGTGTTTTTCCTCTCAATAATTGATACCTTTTTTGTTTCAAAATTTCCTATTTTAACATAAATGAAAACATATTTATTCAAAAAATCTTGCCAGAAACTGCATACATACTTTTTTTATGTTGACACAAAAATGTATACTTAGTTATAATTTCTATTCATCCTCTTGCTACTCATGTGTTCTTTTTTTACGTGTTCTATTATGTATTTATTAGTTCTATTATGTATTTATAAGTTCTATTCATCTTTTGATACTTTTTTTATTTTGAATATTTGCTTTTCAGCACTACCGAAGACATATTTTAATTTTCGAAATGCACATAATTATGGTGCGGCAAATTAAATTCGTTATCGTTTAATTTGAACAACTCAGTGAGTAACGTAGAGGCGCCACTTGTAGGAAATAAATTTTTCAAATGCGTATATTAAGCATCTTAATGACATACGCTATCTTGTAAAAATATAAAAAAACACACTATGTAGAACTATATTTTGAACAAATATCAAACGTTCCATACGTCAAGATGCTTGTACCAGCGATTTATTTCTTCATCCACTTCTTTTCATAACTTTGAATTAATATTTTTCTCATTGGGGTCGTATCTCTAGATTTCCATTCAGCTTTATCTTAAACATCTTTTAACTATAACGATATCTGAATTGTATCAGTTCAGATAATTTTTTTGTGTGTTTGTTAAAGTTTGTTATTTGTTTTTGTGAAATTTAAAAATGTTGAATAATAGATGTAACTACCTCCTGAATGAAATAAGTACAGGGCAATCTGTTTCGACATCCTGAATGATACGAATACAGGATTATCTGTTTCGACCTCCTGAATGATACAAATACAGGATTATCTGTTTCGACCTCCTGAATGATACCAATACAGGTTTATCTGTTTTGACCTGAAAACAAAACAAAAACAAGGCAATCTGTTTCGACCTCCCGAATGAAACAAATACATGCCCTACTTCTTTATCCTTATTGTGCAAATATACCGCGTAAAGCCATACCTCTATATAGCAAAAAGAACAGTGCTGTAAATTTATTATTCTTGAACGTGAAGTATTTTTTATCAAAGATACCAGGATTTTGATTCGGCACTCCAGATGCACGTCAGCAGCAATCGAATCACAACAGTTGGAACTCGTAGCTATTCATTCTCGAAGTTGAAGAGCAATGATTTTTAATCAAACCTATGCCTGAATTGTATTTCAATTGATTTCAACATTATATAAAACGAAAATATACAAAAAAAATATCGCATGAATAATAAATCATATCGTGCTGACTATTGAGTTGATGATAGTCAAACCATCTCATCGAAAATTTTCATTTTATTAATTGACAAAATCTTTTCTATATCTTTAAACCTAACATTAGGGTTTTTTTTACAGATTGCCTTGTACTTATTTCATTCAGGAGGTAGAAACAGTTTACCTTATACTTATTTCATTCAGGAGGTCGAAACAGATAATCCTGTATTCGTATCATTCAGGATGTCGAAACAGATTGCCCTGTACTTATTTCATTCAGGAGGTAGTTACAGATTGCCTTGTACTTATTTCATTCAGGAGGTAGAAACAGATTACCCTGTACTTATTTCATTCAGGAGGTAGAAACAGATTACCCTGTACTTATTTCATTCAGGAGGTCAACACATATTGCCCTGTACTTATTTCATTCAGGAGGTCAACACATATTGCCCTGTACTTATTTCATTCAGGAGGTCAACACATATTGCCCTGTACTTATTTCGTTCAGGAGGTAGAAACAGATTACATTGTACTTACTTAATTCAGGAGGTAGAAATAGATTGTCTTGTATTCGTATCATTCAGGATGTAGAAACAGATTACCCTATACTTATTTCATTCAGGAGGTCGAAACAGATTACCCTGTACTTATTTCATTCAGGAGATCGAAACAGATTGCCCTGTACTTATTTCATTCAGGAGGTCAACACATATTGCCTTGTACTTATTTCATTCAGACGGACAAGATCTAAAAGTTTTTAAAGTATGTTGAAATACTGAATATAAAAGACATGTATACATAAAGAAAAAAAGTAGCTTTAAAGTTTGATATGAAACGTTCCTTGTAAAATTCTTATGTCAAAGCGTACATCCCTTTGAGTATCTGACAGAACCAATCTTTTCAGACATAGAATGTGGAAGCGGAATAGAAGAAATTCCAAATGCATCCTGGAAGAACGAAGGTTCGTTGATGGGAAACGAAACGTATTACACATGTGAAAATAAAACAGTTCATTTACCAGAAAAATGCAACAGAAATATTTGTGTAAATTCAACTGCTCCCTGGAAAGTTATAACTGACGTTGCATGTCAACCAAATGGAAGATGGGACGAAACTGCATTTTCTTGCATTGGTAAAAGTTATTATATTATTATCTTAAATTCATCATATTACATCTTACTGAATATTATTATAGAGAGTTGAAAAAGGGCAACGATTTTTCAACTGATTTTTATAGTTTCTTCTTATGTTGTACTGTTACATCAATGTCCAAGATTAGGGAGAGGATTTTACGCCTTCAAACTAGTTTAACCCCGCCACAGTCTGTATGTGCCTGTCCGAAGTCAGGAGCCTGTAATTCAGTGGTTTTCATTTGTTGCCGTGTTACATATTTGTTTTTTGTTCATTATTTTGTACATAAATTTGGCCGTTAGTTTTCTCGTTTGAATTGATTTACATTTGTCATTATGCGGAATGGGATTTGCTCATTATTGAAGGCCGTACGGTGACCTATAGTTTTTAACTTCTATGTCATTTGGTCTCTGGTGGAGAGTTGTCTCATTGGTAATCATACCACATCTTCTTTTTTATAACGAGAACAATATTTATATCATTTTCATCTATTGTTTATAACCCATACCGCATAGTAAGCTATTAAAGGTCCCAAAATGACAAATGTAAAAGAATTCAAACGAGAAAACTAACGGCCTGATTTATGTATAAAACAATGAACGAAAAACAAATATAATATACGACAATAAACGATAACCACTTAATTACAGGCTCCTGACTTGGGACAGGCACATAAAGAATGTGGCGGGGTTTAACATGTTTGAAGGCGCCAAAACTCCTCTAACTTGGTGCAATGATGCAACGGCACTTTGCTCATTGTTGAAGGCCGTACGGTGACCTATAGTTGTTAATTTCTGTGTCATTTGGTCTCTTGTGGAGAGTTGTCTCATTGGCAATCATACCACATCTTCTTTTTTTTATAAAACGAAAAAAAACCCATATGATATACAGCAATAAACGACAACCACTCATTTATAGGCTTCTGGCTAGGGTCACGCACATATATAATGTGACAGGCGCCAAACTCTCCCCTAACCTTGGACAGTGGTGTAACAGTACAACATAAGAACAGACTATAAAAATCTGTTGAAAAGGGCTTATCTCATCAGATTGATCAGCAGAATAACAACTAAAAAATAATAGAATGGACGTGACAGGGAATTTATACATACCACAACAAGAACCTATTGTGAGCAAGATAACATACCTCTGGCCACAAATATGATATACATGGGCGTTTTAAAAATGCCCCCTCTCGAAATAATGAAGATTTTTAGACTACCCACCTCATCATTTGTTTTGATAACAGGAAAGCTTCATCAAAATTTGGAGAGGAACTGATAAAGAAGGAAATGTCCTTGCGACAAGAATTTATGTAACTGTGACTTGACTATAAGTGATGCTTTTCACCTATTGCAGTTTTTCCAAAATTCTGACCAAATTGCAATTTGTTTTATTAATCCAAACTGTTCAACTGGTCAGAAATTTCAACAAACTGTTGTCGAAAAACATAGTCAATTGGTGAAAGTGCAAAGTGACAAAATAGAGCATACTTACAATCCTATAAGACTTTCATTCCATTTCAATGATATGATGAAAAATCAGTCTAACAGTTTCTATATAAATTTGATTGTAATTGTCATACAAAAGGTGATAGGTTGTAAATGTTGAATTGTTAAAAAAATGTCTAAATTTAAGTTTTTGAATTATTTCTAATAAAATAGTGTTATTCTATGCATACTACAACGCTTTCTTTGAATTAATCTCTAAAATACTTGCTGAAATATACTTGAAGCTTAAATGTATTCTCTTGAAGTTTTAAAGGGAGATAAGATCAATATTTCAAAATATCAATGATTTTAGATTATCTCCCATGGAAACTTGTTAACAACGTGTTGTAATTTCACATATTCTGTGGATTCATTTATTTTCGTGGGTATCAATTTTCGTGGATTGAGGAAAACATTTTTGAGGATATTTTATTTCGTGGTTTTGTCAATCTCTGCATACAGAGCCTATAGAAAATTTGTGATTAGTTGTACATTTGAATTCGTGGTTCACCTGTGCCCACGAAACCCACGAAAATTGGTATCCAACGAATAATAATGAACCCACAGTATTTTACTGAATATAAGATGTTTTAATTCAAATGATATCTGATTCTTATGAAAGAGGGACGAAAGATACCAGAAGGACAGTCAAACTCATAGATTGAAAACAAACTGACAACGCCATGGTCAAAAATAAAAAGACAAACAGACAAATAATAGTACAGATGACACAACATAGAAAACCAAAGACTAAGCAACACGAACCCCACCAAAAACTGGGGGTGATCTCAGGTGCTCCGGAAGGGTAAGCAGATCCTGCTCCACATGTGGCACCCGTCGTGTTGCTTATGTTATTACAAATCCGGTAAATAGTCTAATTCGGTAAGTCACATTCGTGAAAAAGGAGGGTATTGTAGTTATGAATATAGAAGACTTTTCGAAAGAAAATTGTATGAAAGCTTAATTTGGACATTTTTATTGCAATTCAAAAATTACTACCTATCACCTTTAGCATGACAATTGCAATACAATTTGTATAGGAATTGTTAGACTGATTTTTCAATATATCAATGAAGTGAAATTAAAGTTTTAAAGGATTGTAAGTATGCTTTATTTTATCACCTTGCGCTATCACCACTTGACTGTTTTTCTACAGCAGTTTGTTGAAATTTCTGACCTGTTGAACAGTTTGGTTTGATAAAATGAATTGCAATTTGGTCAGAATTTTAGATAAACTGCAATAGGTGGAGAGCAACCCTTACAGTCAAGTCACAGTTACATTTTTACAAGTCATCCTGTTGAAAATTGAACTAGTTAGCATTACAACAAAGTGATGACGGACGACACATCACATTGTAAATATTAAGTAATGACCCCTTAATTATGTATTATTTGTGTTGAAACGCCTGTTTTTGTCAATAATTCTTAACAGTTTTGAGTATAATTGTCTTTGGCCGTTACCTCTGATCCCAGAAACTTTTTGTGCCTAGGAATTCAATATCATCATTGTAATCTTTTGGTTACAAAACATTTTGGATCGTTGGGTTTGGCTAAGGGATTCCTCAAGCTTTTAGGTCTGAAAAATGCATAAAATCATCGTATTTTAGCAATATTTCCAAAATGCACTGACTTTGAAGCCTTGAATGTACTATAGTGAAGAGAATTGTTTAACCTAGTAGTAAGGCTTTTAAAATAAACCTATTTAAAAACCAAATTATGGATAAGTTGAAATTCAAGGCCATATTTGGCCTAAGGTGAACCATGTCTAAAATTTGGACTGCCACTGGAAAAGAAGGCTATGTTTGATAGGAACAGAAATTTTAGCTTGTAACAGGCAATATATGGACCCGACAGAGAGTTGTTGCAAGGGTAACATGCAGCGTATGTGGCAATCATCCTGCACAGAGCATCGGATTTACATCCTTAACAGGATGTGACTGTGTATACACCCCCCACAGTCGAACAGACGCCCCAATTCGTCAACTGCCGGGCGGGATAAGTCCACGAATGACCATTTTCTATACTCCAGTCAACTTTTGCAAGTGTGGGATTGAATATCGCTTGGAGTAAGGCCTTGGCTAATACTCAAATAAAAATGACAAGATATCAAAACTAGAGACACCAAAAGAGCCTGTAATGATTGTTTAATATTTTCGCAGAAAACTGGCAAAATGGTAAAAAAATCATCATTTAAGGACAATAACTTCTATAACGAGTCCACTGAAGGTTCTTACATTTGAGATATTTGCTAATTATTTTTGTTGTTTCAAATTTCGCTCTATCTTTTTTTGTTCTCACATATATAAACTATTGAATTGAAAAAAAGTCATGAAAGAGCAATAACTCCTATAAGAAGTTGACTGATGATTTTGGCCATCTCGACTTATTTGTAAATAAAGGCAACAGTAGTATACCGCTGTTCAAAAGTCATAAATCGATTGAGAGAAAACAAATCCGGGTTACAAACTAAAACCGAGGGAAACACATCAACTATAAGAGGAAAACAACGAAATAACAGAACACAGAAGTGCAACAAAAAACAAACAACAATGCAACATTCATAGAAACGAACTATTAAATAACAACTATGTAAACCTGTATTTTCTGGTCATTTTGCTGTTTACAATTGCGCTCTATCTATTATAGCTTTCATTTTTTTTATTGTCACCCGAAAGCCAAAAATAGGTAAAAACTGTCGTTTAAAGGCAATAAATTTTACAAGGATTACTATGAATACGTTGGTCAGATCTTTCATTCAGTACAGAAATTATTCTAAGGATGATTGTTGAATTGGACTTTTAATTTGAAAGGACGACAGACGACGAACTTCAAATAATGATGATCCTTAACAAAGTCAGCTGATGAGACTTGTTGACAGCATTCAAAGTTTCCAAAAAAAACACGTAAAATTTAAAAACCATAAAATACTGATAATTATGCTAATAATTCGATAGATATAAGAAGATGTGATATGAGTGCCAATGAGACAACCCTCCATCCAAGTCAAAATTTATAAAAGTAAACCATTATAGGTCAAAGTACGGTCTTCAACACGTAGCCTTGGCTCACACCGAACAGCAAGCTATAAAGGGCCCCAAAAATTACTAGTGTAAAACCATACAAACGGAAAAACCAACGGTCTAATCTATATAAAAAACGAGAAACATGTTTGATTTAATATATGTAAAAATTCAGTTACTATAAAAACTATATTAAATATTATGTTTCATAATTCCACAAAGATACACTTATATTATACTGATTTTGTAGATTGCTTCGAAAACCTTAGTGGTACAAAAGTTAACACTTCAAAAACATTGACCGGCCAAAATTGCCAAAGATGGGATGAAACTTCTCCACATGATCTATCTTCCGAACTTGTAACTGCAATGTTTCCAGACCATACTATCTCAGCCGCAGATAATTACTGCCGCTCTCCAGTAACTGGAAATGAACTCGAACGGCCGTATTTTTGGTGTATGACAGGAGATCCGAAAATGAGCTTCGATGTTTGTTCCGTTCCAATGTGTTACACTGAAGGTTTGACTTAATAATAAAACTCAAACTCGAGTACTATCTTCTATATTTCCTTTGAAATTTGCTTAATAATTATAGACATTTTTTGTAATCAATAAAACGATAATGACCATTCATGCTCTAAGCATACACACAAGTTTTACAGTGAAAATATATATCCCAAGAGTCAATATCAAATCCTCAACGATGACAAAAATCGAACAATATACAAAAAGTTTAGATTGCATCGCTTCTTTTTCCTTGTGTCACTGAACGACATCGGAATAAGATAAGTGGTGAAGATTGTGGTTGAACTTGTGAATCATTTAATCTATCGCAGTTAACTGTGTCCGACCCAACGCAGACGTAGAAAGGATGTTTTTTTTTAATTTGTGTTCGTTTTGTACTGTCTTTGTATTGTTTTGGTATCTCGTTATTAAGATTTTTCCATCCAGACTTTGTTTTAAGTCATTCTTACAATTTGAAAAACAACACCAATATAAATAGCCAACACATACAGATAGTCATACAAAATAAGAATACATGTGAAAATCCTGATATACCTTAAGAGTCTATTTTATTTTTTTTCAGATCCAAATAATCATTACCAACAACTACCCGACACGACTTATTCACACACTAATCATTTTGCAGACGTACCAATCACCCGATTTAAGTGTTATGAAAAAAATAGTACGGCCATTCTGGAACATTGTCCTGTGTCTCGGTATGAAAAAAGAAAATGGTCATCGGTAAACGTATCATGTTCAGGTAGGAATAACATCGTCTTGTTTTACTGATTAGGACCGTGCATTGTCGTACACTCGTTAACCCAACTGTTTCGATTTTCATATAATCTTGTAGAGTTTGTTTGTTCGTACAGCATAGTGACGTCACTGTTGGTCAGGAATGTAGTTATCATTTCATGACAGACGTTTCAAAATACAAGGAACAAAAAGAGAGAAGAAAAAAGGCGTGATTAAATTATAATCAAATCAACTTATAAAAAAAAATGCATTACTTAAATCTGATATAACTTTAATTCATTATAATGCAAAATACGAGCGCTGATACGTACGTTGAAAACGCTTATGGACTAATAGAATAGAGAAAGGAAATGAGGAATATGTCAAGGAGACAACCACCCGATCAAAGAGCAAAAATCAGCCATAGGCCACCGATGGGTTTTCGACGCAGCGAGAAAATCCCACACCCGGAGACAGGCTTCAGCAGTCTTCAATATATATAAAATTGATAAACACCCGATAAAAATCTGTACTAAAGTAACGAGAGTATATCATCCAATTAACTTTCAAAGGATTGATGTATGATTTTATTGTTTTATGTTTTCGGAACCAAATGATGGTCTTGTCATACTTTTTCCTTTAAAAACAAAAAATAAAAGTAGGTTCTAGAAAGTGTGTCAATCGAAATTTCGACAGCTAACGATACAAAGAGGGTGCACTGGAAATTGGAAGAACATTTTTGCTTGCAACAGGCCACCTTCAGATCCTTCTAAGTGATGTTACAATTCCTCTTTAACGTGCGAAGAGCGTGTTATCATGTTCAAACATTGCTGACTCTTTGGTTGTTTAAAGATCTACAAAGCATTAGTATAGTCAATACTGTGTAGGTTTAATAAACATATAATTAGATATTAAAAAAAATCATTTGTTTGTTATTAATTCCTCTGCAAGGAAAAATGTAACTGAAAAATCATATTTGAAAAATTAATTATAAGAACACTGTTTGTTTTTGCTTGAAATTTCTTAAAAGCGACGCAACAGCTTTAAAGCATCCTTAATAATTTCTGATATCACCTGACATAGGAAACTTATATAGTTATGTAAACATGGAATGTCATATTTTTTAAATATAACATTGTTGAATAATTGCTTTGATAAAATTTGTATTTCATTTTCAAATGACTTATGCAAATATGAGCCATACGGTATATAAGTTAATTAGCGATGTATTGGTGATATAATATTCAGAACAAAGAGATTTATTTGCTTTATTTGAAAAAAAAACCCCAAACATGTTATAAAACAAAAGAAATATTTAGTTAAGTCATGGTAATTTAAATATCTTTCAGATGCTGATTGTTACGATCCAGGTTTTGCTTACAGAGGGAAAATGACATGCACTGTAACAGGGAGGACATGTCAGAACTGGGACAGTCAAACACCTCATGTACATACAACTGTACTGGATGACCCAAAGGACCAGACTAGTAATTACTGTCGCAATCCCGGGGATGGTTACAGTGTACCATGGTGTTTCACAACGGATCCAAAAGTCAAATATGAATACTGTTGGATCCCAAATTGTTAGTATCTCTCAATATTGAGAGTTATTGCAATTTGACAAAATAGTTCAACATGAGTTTCTACGGCGCAAAATTTCTGTAATGTTATAATAAAATTTGTCTTTAATAGGTTAATCTAAACCACACGTCGTAGACGTATTGTGTTGGCCTCTATTGTTATTAAAGAAAGTTTGAAACTTGTCGTTTTTGCTCCATTTTTAGGATGATTATTATTATCATTCTTTCTCGCAAAGGAACTGAAACCGCGACAGTTCTCAGAATTTTCATATATGTGTGACCAAGCTAAAAGTCGATTCTCATATCTTTTTGGACTTTTACTTAGAATTTACAATTCTGACATTTTAGACTTAAATTCATTGTGTTCAATTAATTATTTTATATTTTGGTTTCAATTAACATTTCTTATCCATAGCTTTAAATCAACATGCTTTGATGTGTTACATCATAGTAATTTGAAATTCTCAGTTTGGACATTGAGTGTAATATAAACCATCACACATCAGCGAACGAACCATCGCACTTCAGCGCAGTCCATCGCACTTCAGCGTGACCATTGCACTTCAGCGTCCCCATCGCACCCCGAGTCCTACATATATATAGGTGTTAAATTACTTGTTTGCTAAATCAATGAGCCAGCAACATAACAACAAAAACAGAAAAAAACATCTTCATGGTATTATACGTCTTTCATTATCTTCAAACAGAGGAAGACATAAATCAGCTGACAAAATATAAATTATTTGACAATAAAATCAATTTTCGAAAAAAGAAAATGTTGAATGTAAACAATATGATGCCGATTATCCTTGATAATATTTTTTCATCATAGACTTTCCTGTCATTGTGCCTACACCAACAGGTGAATGTACTGTTTGGTAATGAGGCTGGTTTCTGAAATGCAAGTTCCCTAAAAAAAAAGAATACATTTTAATTTCTTAACCATTTTCCTCATTATATAAGGAAAAATTATTTCATAATTAGCAATAACTCCATGAATAATTTTAACATATGTTTTAGAAACATCTTTTTGTTTACTTTAGTTTTCACATTTGATTCATTTTTGTTGCTTTTTAATCTTCACTTTTATGCATATAGATTACAATGATAAAAAAGGGTTTTATATATTTAATACATGAAATATACTTAACCAAATATACTTAATTTGACCATTAAAATAGTAAGTCGGGTCAAATGAGTACATTTCCACGAAAACAGCACATAAAAGTAATAAAGTTATTACCAAAATAACTTTCATAGTCCTATAAAGATTAAAAAGTCATTACATGGACTTTGTTTATAAATAATGATAAAAAAAAAAAACCAACCAGACAGACAGATATGCGCCAAGAAAGTAATTCAATCATTGATATGCAATAAAAGGGTTATTTCATTAATACTGGTGAATATTATCTCTCGTAGAATAAATACTTCACTGCACTCGCAAATATGTACTAAATAAAAATCTACTTTGGACAATATTCACCAATAATAATGAAAAAACCCTATATTACTGTCATTCTTAATTTGAAAAAAAGAAATTTATACCAAGAATAGTCGTTTCTTTCCAGTTTTTACAATGTTAATTATTTTTGTTTAATCCGTTTGTCCCTTTTTTCACATATACGAACCAGCATCAAGTTAGGTTTAACAACCTTTCGTCGATTTTAAAATATTTTTGACTTTTGAAATTTAAAACTCCAAAACAAGGTCAATTTTCAAATAATTCCAACTTAAAGCAGATTTGTTAGCGCGTTTAAATAAAAAAAAATGTTTGACATACGTCATTGATACATTAACCCGTGGTTAAGTGAGTAATATTTGTACACAAATATGTATAGCACTGAATTGTTTTAAGTCTAGACATACAATAATTGCATTTACTGTCAATGAAAATAACACTTTGTAAATTTCGTGTGTCCGATGCGCTTTTCTTGGTTTACCTTCATCAGGAACGCTCAAACCAAAAATATGTTAAAGCCAATCATGTTAAAAAAAGAAACTTTATAACCAGAAAGGACATAAACAGAATAGCCAGTCATTTATAAGCCATCAGGATTTGGTTGATCGTTATGGAATATCACAGATGACCACGAATATGTTCCAATTGTCGTTGCCTCTTTTCTTTGATTGTGACATAACTAAATGAGATTTATCACCAAATTGTATTGGCATGACACCCTTACGTATGTCACATGTAGAGCAGGACCTGCTTACCTGAGTACCTGACACCACCCATGGTTTTTGGTGGGTTTCAATTTGCTCTGTTGTTGGCCGAGGATTTTTTTCTATACATCCTCCTGGGTTTAGTTTTATAAATATAGTATTATGTGACATGTGTTTTCGTCGTTTTTTATGTATTGCCATTGGGTTGTCGGATTTTCTTCGATTTGTGAGTTAATTTGATATCCCATGCCTCTTTTTTAAAACTAAATTACAGTTTTTAGAGTTTGAATTGATACGAAAGAAACAATTAAAATTTATTTACTTCCCTCTGTCTTCTGTTAATCTTTCTGTTTTACTTTTTTGTTAAAACAATTAATATGATATACTACTTTATACAAAGGTTCATTTTTGACAGGAAAAAGATATAATACTATGCAGAAATGTTTCGAACTAGAACGGAATTAATACTGCAATATAAATAATAATGTAAAAAAAATATTTAAAGAAATTGCATCACTAATTCTTTAATTGTGACACCTTAAAAGTAGAGTTGTACTATAAGGTAAAATAATGATCTTACCTCTTATTTGTTAAGTTTTCATATCATCAATAACACGATGACGAATGAGAAGTAATTAATGCTAGTATTACGTTTTGTCAACAAATACATCAAATTCTCATAAAGAAGGTCGCCCTATATGTCATCACCTTTCGGACAAACTTATTCTATACATTTATTTGTGGAATTATTTTGACGAGGTACAAGAGTAATCCCTATGAAATGCAAATTTCCTAATCGAATTGATAAGCGCATATTCTGTAGTGATGTTTCATAACGATATCATAAAGAATTGTTAAAAAAAACTTTGGAGTTCTGTATTTTTGTTATTTTACTTTGTACGAAATTAATACACTACGTAGTAGTCATTTTCTGGAATTTGTTCTCCAAAGCTTTAAATTTTGGACGATGATTTTTTCACATGAACATAATTACGATGCTTTTTCTACATGAATAATCAGATGTGTTGATACTATTCAATGATACAGCAATCAATACGAACACCATTCCCCCTAATAAAAGACAGAAAAGAGTAGAAATGAAATCTTAATGTCAATATACGATCTTTATCGTAGAATAATGACACTGACGAAATTCCTGACTGCTACAATTGCATAAAGACTTGAAACAAACATCCACAAGACCAAACGAATGAAAATAGAAAAAAATGAAGACGTTTAAAAGCATAAATACAAATATGCCTAAAAAGATCGTTTAATGCCAATTTTTTCCACCTTAATTATGTGCGAATACCCAAGTTATGAAATTAGAAATATTCAGACAGAAGGTATCGTTTAAATCAGGCATATACCGGGGTAATGGATAGTAGTTACTCTAGGGAACTAAAAATTGCTGGAATAAGATATGGGACTCATTGCACAAAAAATCTTTTAATATACTTAATATTTTTCTAGAAAATAAGGTGCTTTTCGGAAATATCCTTTTCAGACTCTTCCTGTTTATAACAATGCATGATTAAATGGTACTTCATACAAGTTATGCTTAGGTAAATAAAAAAAAAACAATCATAGGACGAACATTTTCACTTTTATTCCCGATAAACGAAGTAAATGTTTTTTGCTGCTTAGTTATCATCCCCGGTAATAATGCCTCATCATGCTGTTTTGTCCTCCACCCCGACTTCCAAAGCCAAAGTTTGACAATCCGCCTATCATATTTCCTGAAACAAGAAAAAAAAAACGATGTCTTCATTTCTATTTAACCAGCGATACAAATGTAACTTAAGTTATAACTATATTGCCTTATTCCTATTTGGCAAAATTATGTTCGGCTTTCAATGATTTCCAAATTTCTTAATTGATTTTGCTTTTTAACTGCTTCGATTCGAGCGTCACTGATGAGTCTTATCTAAACGAAATATACGTCTGGTGTACCAATCTATTAGCCTGGTATCTTTGATTAGTTTTTACAAATTCGTCAACCGTCATTTCTATTTCAGTCTCTTCAAAACGGATTTTGTAATCATCATAAAAAGTAGAATGAAGTCGAGACAATTGAAATGATAGGATGTATATACATGGAACATGCCTACATAAAGTCAGGAATATGACAGTTGTTTTCCAATCATTCCGTTGGCTGATATAGTCGAGCGTTTGATTTTTTCAGGTTTTATGACCTTCCACCTTTTTGAATTTACCTTGGAGTTCGATATATTTTCTTGTAATTTATTTATATAACCGAAATACATTAGAGCCATTTTCAACACGCATTAATGAGTATTTCAAAATTACTAGGGAATAATAAATGACACGACATGAAAACATTAACACAATCCACATTCCAATATTTCAATGTAACTGAAAACTGACTTACTTTGGCGGTAAAAGTAATTAGCACTTTGGAAACACTTGACACAACTTTGAAATATCACAATGAGCAATGCTATAACTACCAGGATCTTCATGGCTTACTACAAAACAACAATGAAGTAGTTTTAAAGTATAATTAAATATAATTATAATAGAAAAACAACATTACTAGGATATGAAACAGTTTAAACAAAATCTATATTCTATTTTTCAAATACAACCTTTAGCACATAATTTCCATTTATATCGAAAAGCAATATAAAATGAAACGGTAGATTTGTTGTAATTCCGCTAACCTTATAGATTGAGATTAGCACGGCTATTTTTCAAGAGAATTGGTAGCCAGCCCTCGACGAAGGTTTTTTTAACGACCTTGACTGCCCTGACTTGAGGGTCTTGCACGGTCGATTCCAAGACAACTTAATACTATATATATAAATTTCAAAGGATCTAAATTTTGGCCATTAGAATTTTAAACTTTTCAAAACAACATAAATATTGTATATTAATATATGTCTTTATAAAAAAAAAGTAAATAACAAAATTTATTCAATTCAAATAATTAATAATTATTAAACATTAAATGAAATATTCATTAACCAATATGAAATTTGTAGATACAAAAATGGGAGCTAACACCCCATTTAAGTTATATTTAACTAATGTTAATTTGTCGAATGTCTAAATATAGATGTGAACTATGTGATATAATCATTTCCAACTATTATAGAATAAAAAAGACAAAATATGAAATTATCTTTATGAAATTTCCGTTGATTTATTGTCAAATTTAAAAAAAAAAAACAGTCGTTTTACTAGAAATGGGTTAAAATAACGTTGCTCATTGATTATCGTTTACGAACTCACTACTTCTTATAAATTCCCTAATATATAAATTATCAAATTAAGACATATTGAAAGGACATAACTCGTAAGAAACTTGGATAAAATAAACAAAGAATGGAAACACTTGAAGAAATGTCTAGTCAATATAATGTTAAGGTTACGAGAACGTAAAGATGGAGTGAATAGTTGAAAGGAACATGTAATACTATGTGAAGAATAAAAACAACATCATCCAAAAGAAAAAAGAGAGACAACCAACCAAAGGGACCACAATATTACTACAAATGTATATATCTAATTATAATCATGAACATATAGTGAAAGAACTCGTAGCTCATAGTTAGAATGTCTATCATGTTATTATAACATCGAACAAACAAAATTAGATTTTTTGAAAAAAAAGATATTCATTGCTTGATATGGGAAATGATTTCATTTAAAAAAAAATGTATTTTAAAAGAATTGAAGATATTAAAGTAGTATAGTAAACAAATTGTTTTACTTTAGCCTCTAGCTGCTCTAAAATATGCATTGTTACAGTGAAATTTGTACCGTACTTTCTCAGGCAAAGTTGACCTTAGATGGATTTGGCTATTATTTGCACGTCCTGTGGTCATATTGATTTTCAGCTATTTCGGTTCTTATACATTCTCGGCTTCCAGGTATTCGGCTTTTTGCATTCCTGACGAAGGTTAAACCAGAAAAGCGCTTCGGATGCTTGAAATCTATATAGTGATGTTTTTTTTTATTTAAATGATACAGAGAGTTGTAATTTATATTCATGGAATATTGCTTTTTAAATAATAAATTTTAGCTCACATAAGGCTTTTTGTGGTCCCCTAAACGCATAAAATAGTTAAACTTTGAAATGGAACTAGATTTCTGAAAAAGACATTTAGATTTTGTTTTAGTTATATATGTTTTTGTTTGTTCATGATGTCCTTGATCACTTCATAACTTTGTTTTCAAATTCAAGGGAGGCATCAATCGCGTGCACAAGTAAACTGATTTTGATCTAAAACGGTCATTTTGATCGGAACAACTCTTTAAAGACCAAACTTCTATGTCATTTGGTCTCTGGTGGAGAGTCGTCTCATGGGCAATTATACCACATCTTCTTATTTTTATATGAACAATAAATTATACATCATTTTCAGTTTTTCAATCAATTTTCAGACTAACCCATTGTAGTAAATTCAGTACTGTTAAGACATTTCGCTTGCAGCCCATTAAGATATGCTCGGTCTATTTTTATATCTGTTTATTATCTGCTATTTACCTGTACAAATCCATTTTATACTAAATTGTCTGAAATGCTAGTGAACAATAATGAATTGACTACAAGCGAACTGTCTGAATAATACTGAGTTGACTGCAAGCGAACTGTCTAAACAGTACTCAATTGACTGCAAGCGAACTGTCTGAACAGTACTGAATTGACTACAAGCGATCTGTCTAAACAGTACTGAATTGACTACAAGCGATCTGTCTAAACAGTACTGAATTGACTACAAGCGATGTGTCTAAACAGTACTGAATTAACTACAAGCGATCTGTCTAAACAGTACTGAATTAACTACAAGCGATCTGTCTAAACCGTACTGAATTGACTGCAAGCGAACTGTCTGAACAGTAATGAATTGACTGCAAGCGAATTGTCTGAACAGTACTGAATTGACTACAAGTGATCTGTCTAAACAGTACTGCATTTTCCACAGTTGACAGTATGAAAATTGATTGAAAATCTGAACATGGCAGAAGAATTAATTGTTCAGACTTTTCAGATCTTGATAAAATCAAAATGACCATTTCCTACTAAAATTCATTTGTTAATGGTGCATTGATAAAAATGATTTTTTTGGTGCTAAACCTTAATACATTTCTTAAATTATTTTTTTTGTTTGTTTTATCCATTATACGGCCAAATATAAATGACTAAACAACATGCAAGACAATTTTTTGATTTTTCCGTCATTCCAAAATCAATCAAAATTTCAGTTTTTTTGGGTTTTCTTATTGTTGACTAACAGTTTCACCTATCATACAAATTTTCCCCACATTTTGAATCTTATTTGATATTGTTGCTTTAATTCAAAAAACCTATTGAGAATTAATTCTGATGAGTCTTTTGACTTTTTCCTTAATGCACGAAATGAAAGAAAATTTAAAAATGCATTCTGCACAAAACGTAGATTATAATGAACGAGATTTTTCATTACTGGTATTAACAAACATTAATTGAAAATTAACATTCTTAATCTTACTGTTAAGCTGAAAATTATTAGAAATATTTAAAACCAATCGTTATATATCTCTTTAATCACAAACATATTAAATATGCAAACACTTACCACAAGGTATCTGAAATCAGATAAATTAAGCTTCTAGACCTTGATGTTAAATGTTTAAATTTATTTGAATTGTATATCATTCTGTAATTATGTCAACATGATAATGTTTAATAATAGTTATTTTGATGATCAATTTTCCGTTTTTATGTTACGAATGTTAAAGGTTATGCTAATATAAACATTTTTATGGAGTTGTTTACTGCTAATTTGGTCATACACATAAATACTAAAAATAGGTGAATTACATAACCTTGATTATTTTTGCATAAATTATGATACGTAAAAATTATAATCCTGGTTTCATTTATATTCATTCTAGTAAATTCATATGGCGTTCATTGCACTACATTTAAAGTTCGCAAAAAAAAAAAACGGGAAAAAATGAAGAAAAACAAAAACCAAAATGAAAGGAATTTTATCAATAAAACTTATGATGGATGCCACACACGATTTTTTTACGTCATCCTGTTACATAATGATGAAGAGGTCATGGGTTGGTTAATTGCAAGTTAAACGGAACTTGGACACAACTTACTTGTTACTTCAGATCTAATTAGACTTTTTTGGTAAACCTGGGGACATTAAAAAGTTCATATTTTTTAGATTTCTAGTTGTGAACCTGATTTATCAGTAGCCTGGGATTCTGTCTGAAATGCTAGTGAACAAAAATGAATTGACTACAAGCGAACTGTCTGAACAGTACTGAGTTGACTGCAAGCGAACTGTCTAAACAGTACTAAATTGACTGCAAGCGAACTGTCTGAACAGTACTGAATTGACTACAAGCAATTTGTCTAAACAGTACTGAATTGACTACAAGCGATCTGTCTAAACAGTACTGAATTTACTACAAGCGATGTGTCTAAACAGAACTGAATTGACTACAAGCGATCTGTCTAAACAGTACTGAATTAACTACAAGCGATCTGTTTAAACCGTACTGAATTGACTGCAAGCGAACTGTCTGAGCAGTAATGAATTGACTTTTTTTGGTAAACCTGGTGACATTAAAAAGTTCATATTTTTTAGATTTCTAGTTGTGAACATGATTTATCAGTAGCCTGGGATTCTGCCTCACTGCTCACCAGTAGACATACTGACGCAAAAGGGGGTTGGGTGGGGAGTGGTTGATCAGGTTACCAGGCTAATTAATCTCAGGGTGAACGACAGTTTAGGTACAGCGGTCAAAACTTTTCAAGTTTCGTGGTACTATTTCAGCGTCCCTCCGTCAATTTTAAATATGGTATGGTTAAAGAGATCTATTTGTTAATGTATTTAAATATAGCAAGTTTCAACATAGAAAGATTATCGATGACCAATAATCATAAATTTATCAATTTAATTAAAATTAAATCATTGTATTGCTCCTGTTCTGATAAAATGCGCGACATTCAAGGATTTAATATCAATAAGTTTGCTTTTATATCCCTTTTATATTTACCCTATAGTTTAATTCTTATAGGTCAAACTGTATCATTAAAGAATCTGTCCCGTGAAAGTTTTATTTGATTTGGATTAAGATAAAAGGGGCAATGCTTTGTTAATATTTCGAAAATTTGTAAGAAAAGAAAAACAATTTATATCGGTCAAGAATTCATGTTCATACATTCCAAAATATGAAAGGGTTTCTTTAGTCATCATCCGTTCACTGCATGATGGGGCGTTAAAAAACGATCAATTTTCGAATAAAATGTCAAACAAACCAAAAAAATGTTGGAATTTGTAGGTAAATAGGTTAACATGAAACACGAATACCTCTACTGAATAAAGAAGTACTGTTAAAAAAAGTTCATGCTTGATTAGTTTACCTTGTTTCTATATAAAATTAAAGTTTGTGAATGATTATGTTATATTGAGATATTTATTTAAAATTGTGCAAAAACGTGATGTGGCACGTTATATACAGAATTGATATAAATAAATGACATAAGATAAAATCGGCTTAAATCGTAGGGTGTAACAAATTTTTAATTTTGCTAAAGTAGTTCCAACAAACACAATCAAAGTAACTTTTTTATGGTGGTTTATACCCAAAATAACTGTCCTTCCAGTAAAATATATGATTTTCCCACATTTAAGCAGAAATCTACTTCAAAGCGTTTATTATTTTAAAACATACAAATGAATGTGACAATGTGTAAGCAACATCTCGAAGACTCAAAATGAACAATAAACAATCATGAGTCGAAAAATACCCGACAACTAATACCATTAAAAACCTGAAAAACAAACAAAAAAACAAACAAAAGTCTACAAAACACTGCATAGAAAACGAAATACTGAGCAACATAAACCCCACCATAAACTAGAGGGGGTCTCAGTTGGTTCGCACGGGTGAGCAAAACCTGTTCGACTTGTAGCATATCCGACATGTTGCTCATGGCAAGTACAAGTTCGGTGATAAGTCTCGTTCGGTGATAAGTCTCGTTTGGTGATAAGTCTCGTTCGGTGATAAGTCTCGTTCGGTGATGTAAGAATCGAGGAAAAAGTAAAACAACAAAAATATCGAACTCCGAGGAAAATTAAAATCGGAAAGTCCCTTAACAATTGGCAAAATCAAAAGCTCTAGCATATCTAACGAATGGAAAACAACTGTCATAAAAGAAAAGACTGTGGTATTGCGACAACACAGTTGGAACATATCCGTGGTGATCTTTCTGATTCAACACTAACTTTTACAGTCACCAATACGTATCGATTGTACGATAGGATGTTTCTGTGTGTTCAACTCACGAATATATGTTTTCGTGGTCTGATATCTTCAGATACGGAAATCACAGGGTTGTATACCTTCTTGTTACGATTGTAAATGTTGTTATTATCATAATTATTTCTCTATTGAAAAAATCCAAACAAATAACTATAGACTTCCTTGTAATGTGTCTTGACAAATGTTTAATTACTAACAAACCTATAGAAATATGACAAAATGTATAAATATCATACGTTTATTACTAATTTATATATGACAAGAAATATAGGATATTTATACATGTGAAACATTCAGACGTAATATATTCTGCAGTCTCCTTTTTCAAAATTTTCATTTCATTAGACTAAAAATATATCGAAAACAAACATGCTTTACGTTCTAAGCGATTGTCCGGAATGTAAATTTTGAACATCAATTAAAAAAGTCCCTTAGTGGTGATTATAAACAAAAATATCCTATTGAGGATTTTTGTTGTTGTTTAAATGTCTAAATGATTTGCATTGATATAAATCGATATGGGACCTTAAAGTTTCTCTGAATACATGATTAATAAATGTATATAAAAATGGGGAGAAGTGGTATGATTGCCGATTAGACAACTATCAACAAGGTTACAACTGACGTGGGTTTAACTATACGGTTTTCAACAAGGAGCAAAACCCATACTCTATATGCAGCTTTAAAATACTCCTACATACGGCATGATCTATTATAAAACTATACACAAAGAACAAATATGACAAAAAAAAAAACCCGACAAACCGATAACAATTACTAAGTGATGTAGTGATAAATTTAACATTACCACTTGGAACTCTTATTTAATAGTTTCTTTGTAAGCAGCAACTAATATCAAGGAAATCGTGATAAGAAATGTAAGTTCTTAAATATCCTATCAACTGTTTTGTTCTCAACCTCATTGTCAATTTCTAGATATGAGTCAAGATATGACTGCACAGTTTTTCTTGTATCTGTTCTTTCAAGATCGAAGGGATCGATGTATGAAACATATACATATAGTCACCAAACTTTGAATGATTTAGTGAGAGGGCTATACGTACAGTTAAAGAATAATGATAGCTTCTTTCCATTCTTCATAAGAAGAAGCCTGCCTCATATGAATAAAAGAACATGTCGGGAAGAAAAGGAGCACACTTAGCTCCCATTGGAATGCCGTTTGTTTGTTGGAAAATATGTCCTCCAGGCGTAACAAATATGTTGTCAATAAAGAAATCAAGTATCTTCATAATGTCAGTTTCAGAGAATTTTATTTACAGTTTGATTAATCCCTTTGTAGGACAAGGTACTTGTATATACGTTGGCCATTCTTTTTATAAAACAAAACAAGGCTAATTCTTCCAATGTGTCTTTTAGTTTGGAATGAAGAATACTTGTATCAAGGGAAGTAAAGTTTTAATGTAACAACCAATCAATTCATATTATTATGAACTGATTGATCACAACATGGGTTGCTGCCTCTGTTAAAATGCCATATTCTAATTGGTTAATAATAATAGAGAGACATTCTAATTTATCACATAGCTTATATTCTATTACCCTTAACGAAGACACTTGATCATTTACTCTTTTTATTAAATACGGATTGTTGTTACGAATATGACGTCATAGCTTATAACTTTCAATTTATAATTTAAAAGACAATATAGCAGAACATGTAGTTTAAAAATAGATTTAAAAAAACCCACATACACAATGTATTCCGAGGAGTAACAATCTGCTCAATCACCTATCAGATGTGTGTTTTTTATATACTGTAAACCAACTTATTTTCGCGGATACTTTATTTCGCGTTTAGCCCATATTAGCCCATTTCGCGGTGATTTAATTTCGCGATTTTCAAATTTGAATGATGCAGTTAAATAAGGAAACTTCCAAGTTTTACATATTCGCGACGATTTATATTCGCATTATTTTACTACTCGCGAAAGTCGCGAAAATAAACTGCTAGCGAAAATTAGTTGGTTTACAGTAATGTCCGTATAACATGTATAGGAATCATTTCAGCCATTTTCCCTGTCAACCTTATTTAATTTAAGTCGTTTAAGGAAGACTCATGCATTCATTTTTAAGAATTAATAAGGAGATGTGGTATGATTGCAAATGAGACAACTATCAATCCAAGTTCAAATGAAGTGGATATAAGCTATCATAGGCAACCATACGCCCTTCAACAATGAGAAAAGGCCCCGACATGAAAAATATGAAACAATTCGATTGAGAAAACTAACTGTCTAATTTATAACAAAACAAATGAACCAACGACAATCACTCAACCACAGGCTCCTGACTTGGGACAGGCACATAAAGAATGTGGTAGGGGTTAAACATGTTTGTGGGCGCC